GAGAGAGAGAGAGAGAGAGAGAGAGAGAGAGAGAGTGTAGGTGCAGTACAAGGAGATCCATGCATTTAGAGAGTGGGTGAAGTCTTGTAGGCTATGGGGAGAAGTTTGGTCTTCATCCGAGGTCTTAAGCAGGGGAGTGCTCTGATTATACTTGCATTTTCAAATACTTGCTATGTCAGGGAGGTGGAGAATTGATGGAAAAGAGGCAAGAATAGAAGTGGGAAGACGAGTTTTGAGATTGTCATGTTGGATATGTGAGAAATGATAGTGCCTTGGACTAGGGTGGTGTTGATGATGGAGTTGATGATGGAGAGGGCTGCATTCCAGAAGTTAGGAGAGTGTATGTGCAAAGAAAGAGGGAGAGGGAAAGGCAAAGTGAGAAAGGGAGTTAGGAGGGAAGGAGAGTAAAGGGTCAGCTAGAGAAACAGGGAGAGACAGAGATGTGAAGAGAGACACAGAGAGATGGAGACAGATGAATAGACAGATAGATTGATAGGAAGTGAAACGCAAACACACAGTGATTATGATTAAGGTTGTTCTAGATGGAAGGGCTGATGAAATGGGGCTTGTAGCACACTGGGTTCACTTGGCTGAATCCTCTGTCCTCCCACTTCCCACAGGCTGCCCTCTGGTTTCTCCCTGCTTTTCAGGACTCCTTTAAAGGATAACCTTGACCTCAAAGTCTTTCCTGACCTGCACATCCCCGTTTGCCTCCCACATGGACAGTCTTTCTCCTGAAACATCCTCTTACCACATTGTGTTGACACTCAAAGGTTATCTGTTATCTGCCTTTCCTGCATTTAGATCACCTCCTGGCAGGGGAACTGTCCATCCTGGAATGTTCAATGCAGAACCTAATTGCAGTGCAAGTAGTGTAACTGTCAACTGTTGAGGCTTAAATCCAGACCTGGGTTTGAATCCCAGCTCAGCTCCCTTAGTAACCGTGTATTCCCCAGGACTCTTTTTACTGAGATTGTTGAAGAAAAACTTGAACTAGTTTTATTTTTAAAAAGGAATGTATTGGCTCTTATAACTGAAAAGTATAGAAGTTTGCCGGACTGCAGGCCTGGCTGATCCAGGTGCAAAAGCATACCTGGCTGTTTCCATCAATGGCTTCTGCTTTGCCTTGATTAACTGCATTCTTAAGCAGGTTTTTGCAATATAATAAAAAGATGGACACCATCATCCCTAGATTTATCCTATCAGCTTAATAACCAGAACGAAAAGAGAATTGGAACAAAAGTCCTGGGAACGACCCCTGGTGAACCAACCTGGGTCAGGGGCTCATCTCAACTAAACTCACAAGTTTGAGTTAAATTTCTGTAGCCAACAAAAAATATATGTACTGATTGCAATGTGTGTCTCATGTGTCCAGTGACAAAGCCAAGAGAAGGGGTAAGTTCTTCCCAAACCACATTGACTGTGAGAGGACGTGGACCATTTATTGAAAGAAAAGTTGGGATTCCACAATGGGAGGAATGGAAATCAACGACAGGCAGGCTGCATGTTTGTGAGCTGAATTCAGCCCAAGGGATACCAGTTTACTAGTCCTGTCAGATTTACGTTGTATATTTTATTTTAAAAAATTAAATAGACTTTGGTTCTTAGAGTTGTTTTAGATTCACTGCAATATTGAGTTGAAGGTACAGAGATTTTCCAAATGCCCTCCGTCCCCACACAGGCATAGCCTCCCCTATTATCAATATCCTGCACAAGAGCAGTCCATTTCTTACAACCGATGAGCCTACGTGAACACATCACTATCACCTAAAGTCCATAGTTTATATTACCATTAGTTTTCGGTGTTGTACATTCCATGAGTTTGGACAAATGTATAATGACATGTACCCACCATTATAGTATCATCCAGAGTAGTTTCACTGTCCTAAAAATCCTCCATGCCTCACCTGTAGATCTCTTTCTCTGTCACCCAACCCATGTGTTTTATTTCTGGGAGTCAGAAATATCTCCTGCATGAACTGTAAACAAATCTAGTTCATGCTGAGGTTCTGGGTTGAAGTGTACGAATGCCTGCCACTTTAAAATGCAACAAAAAATAGGCCGAGCCCCGCGTGGTGGCTCACGCCTGTAATCCCGGCACTTTGGGAGGCTGAGGTGGGTGGATCATGAGGTCAGAAGTTCAAGACCAGCCTGGCCAACATGGTGAAACCCCATCTCTACAAAAATTAGCTGGGCATGGTGGTGCGTGCCTGTAATCCCAGTTACTCAGGAGGCTGAGGCAGGAGAATTGCTTGAACTGGGACCCAGGAGGTAGAGGTTGCAGTGAACTGAGATCATGCCACTGCACTCTAGCCTGGGCTACAGAACGAGACTCCGTCTCAAAAAAAAAAAAAAAAAAAAATCAAAAAATTAAAAGGATTGATGGGTAGCTAGAATAATGGATAGAGGGGTAGATATACCTTAAAGCAAGGAGATGTTAATGGTAGAATCTAGGTCAGGGGTAGATGGGTTTTCAGTGGAAACATTATGTCTGCTTGAAAATTATCATAATAAAATGTAGGAAAACGTGTCTTGTGCAGTGTGTCTTGGCCAAGTATGTTATTACAAGCAATTGTTGAAACTAACATCTCCTGGTGGTGTTGCAATTCTTTAGAAGCTCAGCCTTTGGAGTTGGCGCGGAAGACAATTGGTTCCCTGCGATTAGGCTGTCAAAGTGGCACCTGATATTTTCCTCTGATGCTCCCAGCTCTCCACTGACCTTGGCCTGCTCTGCTAGAGCTTTTACCAGTTTATCTTTGATGGCGAGCTCTTGTTTGCTTTCCAATAAGAACTATAGCG